CTGACCACCAGGGGGCAGCTCCTGCATTGAGTGTCTGCCCCCTGGTGGTCAGTGCGCATCATAGCGACTGGTCAACCCAGTCATAATGGTCGCTTAGGCTTTTATATATATAGATATCCCAATTGGCTCTTGGCCGAAAAAAGGTTCCCCCACTCCTGGTATTGATAGTATTCAAAACCAAAAGATTGAATGTAATCACCTAGGGATTTGATGTTGATAGAAAAAAGATCCAAGAACTGATCCTTGGTGTACTAGCCAATATTTAGAGTTTGGAAAGTGGGGGAAGATTGAACAAAGGAAACTGCAAAGGCACAGTTGGTGAGATAAAAGGAGAACTGGGGGAGTCTAGTAAATGTTTCTAGAAGGAGGGAGAGAGCATTTGTGTCAAATAATCCTGAGAGATCACCCAAAATGAGGGCTAAGAAATGATCATTAGAATTGACATGATGGAGGTGACCTTGCAAAAAAAAAAAAAATCTCAGAGTATAAGGGGGAGATAAAAACCTCTTATAAGTTTGGGGGAGAAACCAAGATGGCGGCATAGGTAAACACCGGAAATTGCTGCCTTGCACAACCACTTCAAAATACAACTAAAAGACAAAATGGACATCATCCAGAACCACAGGAAGGCTGGCTGAGTGGAAATTCTACAACTAGAAAGAAAGAGAAAAGCACACTGAGACTCAGAGGAGGTGCGGAAGTAAAGTGCAGAGGCACGGAGGCGGATGCGGAAAGGGCTGGCAACTGAGAACGCATTTGTCTTTTTCAATCGGGAAGGAGTCTCAAGCTCCCGACTGCTCTGAATTCCAGTTCTGGGCGAGTCTCTGGGGACCCAGACTCATACAGGGAGAAACTGGACTGTCTGGCAGCGGGCGGAACTCGAGGGCAGCTTTCTCTCAGAGGTGCTTGCAGCGATTCCCGCGAGACACTGAGACCCGGGACCTCTTAGGGCAGGACTGAGGATCAGCCATAGCTGTTTGCTCCGCCCTGTTGATTTCCTGAGACCCCGCCCCAACCAAGCTGTGCGCAGAGGCTTTTGCATATGAATGGCCTGGCCCTTTGCAATCTAAAATTACCTAACAAACTGCAGCTGGGTCAGAGAGACCCAGAACATCCAAAAGAAGGCCCAAGGGCCCACAGCAGCTTGCATTGCTTCACAGCTGGGCCTCATTTGGGCACCTCCAAATCCCAAACAAAGAAGAGGAATCTGCAGATCTCTCTGTAGCTCCTGCTGGGTAGCCTCAGGCAGAGGCTAAATTGGCACCTCCTTAGAGATTCAAGAGCCAGTGTACCCAGTGGTCAGAGTGGGACCATCCAGATTACAACTCCTCAGATCCATAAGGGACACACTCAGGGGGCAGACTCAATGAGCACCAAAGCCCCACTGAAGCAAGTCTTGCCCCAGAAGGGTGTCTCCAGCACAGAAGTTCTCCCACCGTAGACACAGCAAATTCTCACAGCCAATTTGCCTGGAGGTCAATTCCTCCCAGTGATACCTACAACAATCAAGGCTAAACTACAACAAGACTGTGCACAAAGCCCACAAAGGGGTGCGCCAAGAGTGTCCACCTCAAGTAATTGGGGAGGCTGAGCCACTGGGCCCTATAGGACACCTAGCACACAAAGCCACTCTATCAACACAGGGAAGCAGCCAAAATGAGGAGACAAAAAAACAGGTCACAAATGACAGAAATGGAGGAAAGCAAACTACTGGATATAGAGTTCAAAACCACAGTTATAAGGTTTTTCAAGAATTTTATGGAAACCACCGATAAATTTAGTGAGACCCTCCATAAATCTAGTGAGACCCTCGAGGATATGAAACAGGACCAACTAGAAATTAAGCATACACTGACTGAAATAAAGAATATTATACAGAGATCCAACAGCAGACTAGAGAATCCCAAGAATCAAGTCAAAGATTTGAAATACGAAGAAGCAAAAAACACCCAACCGGAAAAAAAAAATGAAAAAAGAATCCAAAAATATGAAGATAGTGTAAGGAGCTCTGGGACAACTTCAAAGTACCAACATCCGAATTATGGGGGTGCCAGAGAAGTGAGAGAGCAAGATATTGAAAACCTATTTGAAGAAATGATAACAGAAAACTTCCCCTACCTGGTGAAAGAAATAGACTTACAAGTCCAGGAAGCACAGAGAACCCCAAACAAAAGGAATCCAAAGAGGACCACACCAAGACACATCATAATTAAAATGCCAGAGCAAAAAGACAAAGAGAGAATCTTAAAAGCAGCAAGAGAATAACAGTTAGTTACCTACAAGGGAGTACCCATATGACTGTCAGCTGATTTCTCAATAGAAACTCTGCAGGCCAGAAGGGAGTGGCAAGAAATATTCAAAGTGATGAATAGCAAGAACCTACAACCAAGATTACTTTACCCAGCAAAGCTATCATTCAGAAGTGAAGGTCAGATAAAGAGCTTCACAGATAAGAAAAAGCTAAAGGAGTTCATCACCACCAAACCAGTGTTATATGAAATACTAAAAGGTATCCTTTAAGAAGAGGAAGAAGAAGAAAAAGGTAAAGATAAAAATTATGAACAATAAATACACATCTATCAACAAGTGAATCTAAAAATCAAGTGAATAAAAAATCTGATGAATAGAATAAACTGGTGAATATAATAGAATCAGGGGCATAGAAAGGGAGAGGACTGACAGTTCTCTGGGGGAAAGGGGTGTGGGAGGTGCGGGAAGAGACTGGACAAAAATTGTACACCCAGCTCCATCCTCTAGTCTGAGGACAGGCGGGGGGTAATGGCAGAGGGTGGGGTGGAAACTGGTTGGAGGGGAACTATGGGGGGGGCGGGAAGAGGAACAACTGTAATAATCTGAACAATAAAGATTTAATTTAAAAAACAGTTTGGGATATTAGTTGAGGAAAGGATGGGAGGTGATATAGTAGAGAAAGCAAGTGAGATAACTTTTTTGAGAAGTTTTGTTGTTTAGGAGAACAGATAAATGGGGTAGTATCTAGTAGTGAATGTGGGTTGAAAATGTTTTAAAAGGCTAAGGGATGTTTTATAATGTCCACTAGAGGAAAAAAATGGTGACATGGGAGAGAGATAGGGTAACTAAAGGAAACAAGCTCCTCATAAGCAAGAGGGCATGGGAACCAGTACCCATGGTTGGCCTTGAATAAGAGCAGAGATATTTCATATATTAAACTGTCATCAAAACAAGACTATATGATCATGAATACTGGTGGGTTTGTATTACTGTAGATTCAGTTTGTGGTAGAAAAATGAATTAGTGGTTCTAATTGCTTCTGTTTATTACTAAAATAATAAACAAGGTCATTGAGTAGGGTGCACTTTAGAATTTTACATGATTTTTTTTAAGCTAAAAAATGAGATTTAAAGAAATGTGTTCTATTGGCCTGCTTGGTTCATGTGGTGTTTCCTTGGCCCTTACAGATGCTTAAACAAGTCTGGGAAAACTAATCTATTAAGATAGAGTCTAAGCTCCTAAGCTCTAGTCTATATCATGACATGCAAGGCCCTCTCACACTCCCTCTTTGCTTGCCCCTGCTTTTCCTTGTATTCTGTCCTCTATAGCAGCGGTTGCCCTTTCAGACCTCATGGACCACCAATGGTCTGTGAACCACTGGTTGGTGACCGCTGCTCCAAAGGTTTCCTTAAACCAGCGGTTGCCAACCTTTTGGACCTCATGGACCACAAGTGGTCCACGGACCACTGTTGGCGACCGCTGCTCTAAAGTCGTCATCCTGCTGGCTTTAGTACCTTCATTCACACAGTGTACCCTCTGCCAATAATGCTCTGACCACCCTCTTTTATCTTTTACTTATCTTCAGTTCTCAGTTTAGGCAGGACATTTGGGGAGCTTTCTCTAATCTTCCCATTGAAAATAAAGGTGACTCCTTTGAACTTTGACTTATTATGTTAAAATGATCTGCTTGTTTTTCTTTCTCCCCAGTGAATTATATGCTTCTTCAGCATGGGCCTACCACATAGTGTCCTCTTGGTAAATATTTGCAGAACTGAAATGGCTTCAATGTCTTAATTTTTTATTAAGTTTATGTCTATACTCAGTTTATAGACATAACAACTAAGTGGGAAGTAGTGATAACCTCCATACAGTGGTAACCATAACTTTTTAGTAGGCTCTACAGAATCTGTAGAATTACTCATTTGACCCTAGTGACATGATAAGGTGGATGCTGAATAACCTCTCTCCCTTCTTTCTTTTCTCTTCTAGTGTGAAGAGTGGCCAGATTAGAAATCTGGAGTCTGCCCGTGTCTCCATGGTTGGCCAAGTCAAAGAGTAGGTTCTATTTTTCCCTGTTGTGCTAGTTAGAGAATGAAACATGGTGATGAAATTACAATTTGCTCTTTTTCTTATACACTTATCCTGCATCCTTGTGAATGTCTTCATTATTTTTGATAATTTTTACAAGTGAGCTCAGTTGGGCCAATTGTATAGATTTTTCTTTTCTCTTTTCTTTCTCTTTTTTGAGGAAATCCCAAGACCAATTAGTGCCTTCAGTATAGTATTGGATTACCTTATTAGTACAACTCTAGGTATTAAAGGTGAAGAATCCCAGAGAATGGACATTGAAAATTAAGTGGCCAGCCCTGGCCAGGTAGCGCAGTTGTTTAGAGCATCATCCCAATATGCCAAGGTTGGGAGTTCGATCCCCAGTCAGGGAATATATAAGAATCAACGAGTGAAGGCATACATAACTGGAACACAAATCAATGTTTCTCTGTCTCTCTCAAGTCAAAAATAAGAAATTAAGTGTACACTTAAGTGCAGGCAGTATGGTTTTATTCTGATAACAGTCTCCTTTTAAAACAATAATGGTTGTGAGGAAATTACAGCATAAAAGCTTTAGCATAACCTGAATGAAAGCCAGATTCTAATGGTGAGCTAAGATTATTTAGCTCCATTGATCTTCCTGGATAGGGTTACATGAGTCCTTGATATTGCCATGTAGGCACAAAAGAAACTTTAGGTGAATTGAGAAAATGTTGCCCAATGGAACAGACAGGGAACATAAGAGTTGATGATAATGATAATGGCATTATTGAATGTGTGCTATTTGCCAGGCACTGTGAAAGGTATTTTATATATACTATCTCATTTTTTAAAACCTTGTAATATTGAAAATTCTTAGACATATAAAAGTAGAATAATACATTGAAACCCAATATACCTGTTGCCCATTTTTAACAGTTACTGACTCATGGCCAGTCTTGTTTTATCTGTACCCCTAACTATTTCCCCTAAGCACAAAATATTGTGAAACAAATTCTAGACAAAAACAATTTCCTCTGTATGATTTCAGTATGCTTTCTATAAGTTCCATTTCTATCTCTCTCATTTTTTTCTTGCAATTTATATGTTGAGGAAACCTGGTTGTTTGCTCTGTAGAATGTCCCACAATTTGAATTTGCTGGTTGATTCTTCAAGGTGTAATTTAACATGTTCCTTTGTTCCCTGTATTATCTGTAAATTGTTAGTGAGATCCAGAGATTTGATTTGTTTTTATTTTGTTTTTTTGTTTTTAAGAATAGGTAATATTGTTTAATGCCATCAGAAAGCAAATAATGTCTGTTTGTCTCTTTTTTGAATGTTAGCAGCCATAGATGGTCATTACCTGGATTCATTAATTCATTTGCTTTATCTCATTTAATTCTTACAATACCTCTTTAAGATAAGTATTGTTTTATAGGTGAAGATATGGAAGTCCAGAAAAGTATAGTGATTTTCTCAGGATCACATAGCTAGTGAATCACAGAGCTCAGATTCAAACTCCTATGTATTTTACTCTAAGGTCTATATTATGGATTTTATGACTAAAAGTATAATTTGAGTAGTAATATCTGGCAGACACATAGCAGAGGCTTTGAGTAAGTTGTGAAATTGTCCACTTTTCAATGCCTAAATATGTTGAGATCTGACTTGTCTAAGAAGTGGTAAAGCATTTTGTAAGGAAGTTACATAGCTGGTATGCAGGTAATTAAGTGATTTTTAAATTTTACTATTTGTAAGCTTAAGTAATGTTTTCTCTTAATTTGTAAATCTGTGTATGTAAGAGTATGTGTTTTGTCACATAGATATTAGCCGTAACATTTCTGCCCTGTTCATCTAGATGAAATGCTCTTGAATCTCCCAGTTCATAGCTATGGAAATCCAAAGCACATGTTTTTTGTTATGGTCCTTTGACCTAGATGTGAAACTTAATACTTCGAGTTCAATAGAAACACCCACCTAACAAAACATTTGTGACCATAGCCTCATTGAAGGTTGGGTAGAGAAGAAAGAGAAGTTAACCATTCTTAAAAATCCACCACTGAAGTTCACTGACCTTCAGTTTATTCCACTCTTTTTTGATTATTTTCTCTCCTCCCTTCTCTTTTCTTTTCAAACAAATTCTTGTGTACCATGCATAGCAGACCTTGGCACTAGCTGCTATCCAGACCCTTGGGATTTTTTAAAAATAAATTTTAAAAATATTTTTTATTGATTTCAGAGAGGAAGGGAGAGGGAAAGAGATAAAAACATCAATAATGAGAAAGAATCATTGATCAGCTGCCCCCTGCATGCCCTACATGGGGGATTAAGCCCACAACCCGGGCATGTGCCCTGACCAGGAATTGAACCATGACCTCTTGGTTCATAAGTCGACGTTCAACCACTGAGCTGCGCCGGCTGGGCCAGACCCTTGGGAGTTTTACCCCTAACATTCGTCAATATATTTTTTCCAATAACTTCTCGCTAAAAGTAACTATGGCACCAGCTGTTCATAAAATAATATTTTTCTACCTAATTGCATAATAAAGAGATAATGTTTTTAGAGGAAACACAACAATAATAATTGGTTGGACCAGATGTTCTAATTTGCAAGGTTCAGCTGTCATGATTACTGTAATTGCCAGTTTCTATCCGCTAATTAAAAAGTGGGAGCTTTTTACCATTTGGTTGAGCCTTGTTCTACTATAAGCAGAGTATAATAGAAAAGCATTTTGCCTTAGAATTAATTGGGCCTGCATTTGCCTACTAGCTTCATCTACTCATGAGCTAGATGATCCTGGACTATGTTTTAACTCTTCAGGCCTATTTCATAGGATTGTTAAGAGAATTTACATAGGATAATGCCAATAAAACTCGTTACCATGCCTCCAAGTGATTACTCCCTTCTGTGGGTCAATTTTGATACCAGAACTGGAAACCATCTCTTGTTGTATAGTTTTATGTTGGTCATTACCTTCCACAGTTCTAGTCTACTTTTGTACATTTTAAAAAGCACATTTTTCTCATCCTCCCAGAAGCATTGTTAAGTTTTAACTAACATCATCCTATATAATAAAAGGCTAATATGCAAATTGTCCCCTCGGGAGTTTAACCAACCAGGAGTTCAACCAACCAAGTGTTCGACTGCTTGCTATGACATACACTGACCACCAGCGGGCGGCACGAACAAAGGAAGGCCCCGGCTAGCAGCCAGCAGCTGGGGGAAGAAAGGCCCCAATCAGCCCTGATTGCTGGCCAGGCCTAAGGACCCTACCCATGCATGAATTTCATATACCAGGCCTCTAGTTTGATTATAAAAGATCATAAGTTTCAGTATTTCTGAGATAATTTGTGTATACAAGAGAGGTTTGTGACAGCACTTTTTTTAAAAAACCTAGGTGTGAAGGAATTACAAGTCCAGAAGGCTCAAAATCTGTAGTGGAAGGAATCATAGAGGAAGACGAAGATGATGAAGAAGGAAGTGAATCAGTAAACAAGAGGAAGAAGGAAGATGACATGGAGGTGAGTAAAAGCCTGCATTCTTGGAAGGATGGTGTAGGGAATGGTTCAGAGTGTGTTTTGATTACTGTAGCTTTGTAATTGCTGGGAGCCGGTCCATCCTTGCTGCTTGACACAGTCGCTGCAGGAAAGAAACATCTGCACAGCATATGTTTCAAGGGACCTGGCATATATAGCATATTGTTCTTAATATGTTTGCTCTCTTTAGGCCATGTGTTTTAACCAAGGTCACCTCTCCGAGAAAGGTTGTTTCCCCAGGTGGGGATTTTTCCCTGAGGTTAGGGAGGGGATACAACCCCTTAATTAAGTGCCAGGCGGGTAGTTAAGCTACATAATCTTTACTCCCTGGAATGGAGATAAGAAACGCCCTAACCTTTGTAATAGAAATTGACAGGATTAAAGTCGGCTGGTATAAATACGGATGTAACAAGACAATAAACATCAGATCCTCATCAGATCCTGATCAGTTCCTAACCAGAACTCCGACCAGAACTTTGGCTGGAGATCCTGGCTAGAGGTCCTGACTAGGCTGCTGATCAACTGAAGGCTGTCTTCGTGTCATTCCTTCTTCGCCGACTCCGTCCACACCTTTGGGGACCCCTGGACCCGCTGGGATTGGACCCCAGCAGTAATGTTTTAAAATCAGAGAGTCTGATTTTTTTTCTTTTTCAAAATTGTTTTGACTGTTCAGGATCCCTTGAAATTCCCTATGAATATTTTTGGGAAAACGCCATTGGGATTTTGATAGGGATTGCATTGAATCTGCAGATTGCTGTGGATAATATGGACATCTTAACCATCCAATGATCTTTAATATAATATATTGCTGTCTTATGTTCACTTCTAGATTTTCATCTTGTGGTTGATGCAGTATCCCAATTATTTACTTCAGTTATAATATTTCAAATTTTTAATGATACAGAAAAGCATAGAGAATTATTTGTTCAGTTTGCATTTGATGAGTGCATACTCCACGCCCATCCATCTGCTTTATATTGAGATATAACAGATATTGACATTTTGTTATATTTGTGTCAGATTTCCTTTTTTAAATTACTATTGCAGGAACATTATATCATTATCATAAATGAAAATGTAAGGAAAATGCTCTACTAACAAATCAACGTATTTTCAGTTTTCCTTTCCAGTTCTTTCCCAAACTATACCACATTTTTCCAGTGGTAATCCTAATGTAGATGACATGTTGTATTCCGCTTCTTTCACTTAATATAGCGTA